TGCGCAATCTGGGTGTCCTCCTGGATTCACGGCTGACACTGGATGACCAGTTGGCGGCCGTGACCAGGGGGGCGTTTTATCAGGTCCGCCTGATTCACCAGTTGCGGCCTTTTCTGGACCGGGACGCCTTGCGCACAGTCACTCATGCTCTGGTCACCTCCCGCCTGGACTACTGTAATGCTCTCTACATGGGGCTCCCCTTGAGGAGCACCCGGAGGCTCCAGCTAGTCCAAAATGCGGCCGCGCGGGCGGTGTTGGGAGGGACTCGTCGCTCCCACGTAACACCGCTGCTGCGCGAGCTGCACTGGCTGCCGGTGGCCTTCTGGGTGCGCTTCAAGGTGCTGACTATCATCTTTAAGGCGCTCCATGGCAGCGGACCGGGATACCTTCGAGACCGCCTCCTGCCGCAGATTGCCTCCCATCGACCTGTACGCTCCCACAGGGTGGGTCTCCTCAGGGTGCCGTCGGCCAGACAGTGCTGGCTGGCGACCCCAAGGGGGAGGGCCTTCTCTGTGGGAGCTCCCACCCTCTGGAATGAGCTGCCCCCAGAGATCAGGGTGATCCCTGATCTCCCTTCCTTCCGCCGTGCCCTCAAGACATGGCTGTTCCAACAAGCGGGACTGGCCTAGGGCAATTTTTAGAGGGGTTTTAATTATATTTTAAATTAGACAACATTTAAATATTTCTTTTTAACTCATTTTAATTTTGTAATTTGTCATTGGTGTAGTTTTAACTGATTGTCAGCCGCCCTGAGTCCGCAAGGAGAAGGGCGGGATATAAATTCAATAAATAAATAAATAAATAAATAAATAAAAACCACGATAAATATACGCAAGTTTCTGTTCTAAAATCAAATTAAATAACAGGCCTGCTCTAAAAGTACCCCATACAAAACCCCCCACTGAAACCAAATCAAACTACGCCAGGCCGGCCGCACGGAATAGATGGGCCTTCAGGGCTCGGCGAAAAAGGCACGACTCCAGCTTTGTCTGCTTCGTCAGAGGTTTCGTTTCAATTTAGTAAGATGCTTTCACTTGCAAAACAAATTCATCCGGCTGCTTGCCAGCCACCTCGACACTCTTTTGGGGTGCCACCCAGACCCGACCCCTTCCCCGACATTCCAAAGCGGCTCCCTGCTTCAAAACTGTCTCCTGAACTAAAAGGAGGACATGAATTTAACAGATTTTTCCAAACTCTCTTCCGCCTGTCTCTCCAGCCCAGTCAGGCGCCGATTCCCCTACCGAACTCGGAGGACTTACGCGGAAGCTGCTGAGGCCGCTCCGGAGGGAAAAAGTCTCCCTTTGGCAAAGCGCGTTCATCCTGAAACATGAAAGAGAAGCTTAATGTGTGTGGGGGGGATAGAGGGGGGGAAGAGACAAGGAGGGGATGGGTGTAGGCAACCCTCCCTTGATTATCCCAAAGGTGCCTTTTTTTCAGGAGGCAACTGGACTTCCTTGTTTTTTCTCTGAAGACGTTTCGCTTCTCATCCCGGAAGCTTCTTCAGCTCTGACTGGATGGAGGGGAAGGGAAGGATTTATACTCCTTGCAGACAGCTGGTCATATTGCATTCCTTTAGAGCAGGGGTTCTCAACCTTTTTAATGCCACGACCCCCAACTGGTCGTATGTCGAGGACTAAACCGGTCGTAAGTCGAGGACTAAACTACCCAACCGATCGTAAGTCGAGGACTTTCCCTGCCCGGGAGCGTTGCGCATGCGTGGTTCCGCCCCCTGCGCCAGCCGAGGCGTAGATGGCAAGCGGCAGAGACGGAGCAGGCCGACCACCAGCTGGCCCAGCCCAAGGGAGGTAAGGCACCCGCCGGAAAAGGGGGAAAAAATGGTGGACAGCCTTGCTTGGCGACCCCCGTGAAATGGTCGATCGACCCCAAATGGGGTCCCGACCCATAGGTTGAGAAACACTGCTTTAGAGGGTTGTTGAAATGAGGAGGGGATCAGCCGCCAGGGAAAGCCCAGGGAAGTCATCAAAACAATTAAAAAACGAAAATGAGAATATTTCGGACAGGTGATGCGACACCCAGAAAAACATGGCATTCTCCATTTAACCCTCCAGGGAAAGATTGAAGGCAAACGAGGTCCAGGCAGAAGGAGAACATCGTGGCTTCAAAATCTAAGGGACTGGTTGGGACAAAACTCAGCAGCACTTTTTCGTGCGGCTGCTGATAAAAACAGGATCACCAACGTCCGTTAATAGATATGGCACAAGAAGAAGAAGAGGGTTGTTGAGGCCACTTAGACCCTGAGGACACAGATAAACCTCCAAGTGGCCTCAATGACCCTCTAAAAGGAGGCAAATGACCAGCGGTCTGCAAGGAGTGTAAATCCTTCCCTTCCCCACCATCCAGAGCTGAAGAAGCTTCTTGGCTGAGAAGCGAAACGTCTTCAAATAAAAGGCTCCACACCCATTTGCACAACTCAGATGACCCTGAGGACACAGGTAAACCTCCAAGTGGCCTCAACAACTCTCTAAAGCAGTGGTTCTCAACCTGTGGGTCGGGACCCCATTTGGGGTCGATCGACCATTTCACGGGGGTCGCCAAGCAAGGCTGTCCGCCATTTTTTTTGTCCGCCATTTTTTTCCCCTTTTCCGGCGGGTGCCTTACCTCCCTTGGGCTGAGCCAGCTGGTGGTCGGCCTGCTCCGCCTCTGCCGCTTGCCAGCTACGCCTCGGCCGGCGCAGGGGGCGGAACCACGCATGCGCGGCGCTCCCAGGCAGGGAAAGTCCTCGACTTACGACTGGTTGGGTAGTCCTCGACTTACGACCGGTTTAGTCCTCGACTTACAACCGATTTAGTCCTCGACTTACGACCGGTTTGGTCGACTTACGACCGGTTAGGGTCACACCATTAAAAAGGTTGAGAACCACTGCTCTAAAGGAAGGCAAATGACCAGCTGTCTGCAAGGAGTATAAATCCTTCCATTTCTCCACCATCCAGTCAGAGCTGAAAAAGCTTCTTGACTGAGAAGCAAAACATCTTCAAAGAAAACCAAAGAAAGTCTAGTTGCCTCTTGAGAAAAAGGCACCTTTGGGACGACCGTGACCCAGGTAACGGAGAATCTCCACGGACACCACCACCCCACTTACCATCTTGACATGCATCGGCCTGTCGAAGAGCAGCTGCCCGTTGAACATAGCTGGCAGTTGAGTCAAGGCTTTCCGGTCATACTGTTGGTGTCAACGCTGCAAATACTGTATATTCTTGCTTTGACAATGTGCAGAACTGTCTGGTATATATAACTGTCTGGTCCAAGAGAGGCCGCAAAAGGAAACAGCACAAACCCTTTTGTGTCCCTCTTTTCTCTGCTCAGAAACACTTGTCAAAACCTCCCCGGTGTTGTGTTTTCATCAACGCGCTCCCCATCATTCTCTCTCTCAAGAGAGACAGAGAGAGGCACCGGGGAGCGAAAGAAAACATTTCTTGATCACCGCAGCTGATCTCACGGGGCTTCACTTCAGCCTCACTCTCTCACCTGGGGGGGGGGGGGAAACCACCTCTTGCTTTTGCAAAAGCTGCAGCCTGTGTGTGTGTGTGTGTGTGTGTGTGTGTGTGTGTGTGGAACTGCATTAAGCAATCGAGGGGGCGGGGGAACAGGCGCTACACGGAAGCCAAACCTGGGCGAAAAGGGGAAGTCAGGCTTCTGCCAGAGGGATCCAAGATCATGCAAAACTAGGAGGTGGAATGTGGGAATTAGATTCCCCACTTGGCCACTGGAGGGTTTGGAAACAAGCCACCATCCAGCCTGGGAAGAGAGTTGAGAACAAAAGGGCTGTTGGAAAGCTCTTAACTCCCTAGGGCAGGGGTAGGCAACCTCGGCTCTTTTATGACTCGTGGACTTCAACTCCCAGAATTCCTGAGCCAGCATGGCTGGCTCAGGAATTCTGGGAGTTGAAGTCCACGAGTCATAAAAGAGCCGAGGTTGCCTATCCCTGCCCTAGAGTGAGGAACTTCCAACGCTCAGAATTTCCAGCCGGTGTGGCCATCAAAAATAAGATTCGAAGCTGGGTGGGGTTTGAATGGACGCCCACCCAGCCGGCCTCAAGACGCGAGCAGACATCTCCGGCTCTGCACGCGAGGGGGTGGATGGGTCTGTGGCAGTGAGGGCGAACCTTTTAGAGACCGAGTGCCCAAACTGCAACCCAAAACCCACTTATGCATCGTCGGGTGCCGGGTGGGTGTGTGGCCCATTGGGTGGGCGTGGCTGTGGTGGTAACGGCAGACTGGGCGGGACTAAAAAGCTCAATCAATCAATTCCAACTTTGCAAGATCTTTTCTTTTCCCCGCGAGAAGTTGAAATTGACTGATTGATTGAACCTTTTTTTGGGGGGACACGGCAATGGAGGCCTAAAGCGAAAAGGTTTTATAAAACCCAGCTGAAGGCCTAGGACTGGGGTGACGGCGCACGTGCCCACAGAGAGGGATCTGAGTGCCGCCTCTGGCACCCGTGCCATAGGTTCGCCACCAGTGGTCTATGGTTTGGGGATGGTTGCATGGGTGTCCCCTTTATATAATAATAAAAATAATAAAAATGATGATAATAATAATAATAATAATAATAATAATAAAGTTGGAAGGGACCTTGGAGGTCATCTAGTCCAACCCCCTGCTCAGGCAGGAAACCCTATACCATTCCAGACAAATGGCTGTCCAGTCTCTTCTTAAAAACCTCCAGTGTTGGAGCATTCACCGCTTCTGGAGGCAGGTGGTTCCACTGATTAATTGTTCTCACTGTCAGGAAGTTTCTCCTTAGTTCCAGGTTGCTTCTCTCCTTGATCAGTTTCCATCCGTTGCTTCTTGTCCTGCCTTCAGGCGCTTTGGGGAATAGCTTGACTCCCTCTTCTTTGGGGCAGCCCCTGAGATACTGGAAGGCTGCTATCCTGTCCCCCCTTGTCCTTCTCTTCGTTAAACTAGACATCACCAATTCCAGCAACCATTCCTTATATGCTTTAGCCTCCAGTCCCCTAATCATCTTTGTTGCTCTTCTCTGCACTCTTTCTTTAATATTTTCCTTATCAATGGGCCTTCCCTTCCCCCAGAACCAATCTCCACACAACGGTCAGCTGGGATGCGGGACGTCTTTGCGCCGGCCACTTACCCATCACCCCCTTCGCAGCACAGTATGGGGCGACGGTTACGGGGCGGCGATTCCCAATCAGCGTTCAGAGGCAGGGTAAACCTCCAACTCCTTTAGCGCGCGGCCCACCCAACCCGCTCTGTCCCAAAGACGCCCGAGCCGAGTCCCAGACCCTCACTCCGGTCCGAGCAAAGGATACAGATGGCCTGGACGGCCTCGATGGCTTGCTCAAAGGTGACGGTGCCGATGCCCCGGCTCTTCCCGTCTTTGTCTTCCAGGATGTCTGCTCGGACGACCACCCCAGCCATGCCGAAGACCTCCTTCAGCTTCTTCCAGCCAACCTTGTAGTCCAGCTGAAGGAAGAGACGGGGGGAGAAGACGACCAGGGAGCAACGATTAATCGTTAACGTCGGATCTTTAAAACATGGCTCACCCCTCAGGAACGCTGCCCTGTTCAACGTTAGCAGGGGAGAGGTTAGCCGGATTGTCTGGGACGGGGGCTCTTTAAAACGCCAAGGACGATTGTGCCGCCTGCCAATCATGGGTGACTTTTAAGGCGGGTGGACTGTCAAGCTGGGGAATTCTGGGAGTTAAAAAGTCCATCCATTGTGAAAGGCCGGGCCAGGCCAAACCAGGCATTAATCTGGCAAGATTCTGTCTATTGCCTGTAAGCAAATAATGCACTGAACTTTGGCTGGATTGTTTTACGCCGTTCTGGGCCTTAGCCCAGGGGTGGGCAACCTTGGCTCTTTTATGACTCGTGGGCTTCAACTCCCAGCATTCCTGAGCCAGCTGTGCTCAGGAATAAGCTGACTCTATAAGTTGCTTAGAGAGGGCTGTAAAAGCCCTGTGAAGTGGTATATAAGTCTAAGGGCTGTTGCTATTCTCTCCCTTTCCCTCCCTCTCTCCTTCCTTCGTGCCCTTTTCTTTCTACCTTTCTTTCCTTTCCTTCCCTCTACTCTCTTCTTCCTTCCCTTTCTTTTTCTCCATTTCTTTCCTTCTCTCCTGCTCCCTCCATCTCTTATTTCCCTTCTCTTTTTCTCTCCCTCTTCTTTCCTCTCCTTCCTTCTTCCCTCCTTTTTTTCTTTCTCCTCTCCTCTCCCCTTCCTTCCTTCCTCTTGTAAGAGCCCTGGTGGCGCAGTGGTTAAAATGCAGCTCTGCAGGCTGACTCTGCCCACAGAGCCAGGAATTTCGGTCCTGACCGGCTCAAGGTTGGCTCAACCTTCCGAGGTTCATAAAATGAGGACCCAGATTGTTGGGAGGCCAATAAGCTGACTCTGTAAACCGCTTAGAGAGGGCCGTAAAAGCGCTGTAAAGCGATATATAAGTCTTAAGTGCTCTTGCTATCTGGGAGGATTGGATAACTCCTGCTCTATCTCTTTATCAGGATCCTTGGCAAATCTGGGTTCAGACCTGGGCTTGGGTCAGGCTAAGCCAGGGGTGGGCAACCTTGGCTCTCTTATGACTGGTGGACTTCAACTCCCAGAATTCCTGAGCCAGCCATGCTGAGGGGAAAGGGAGGGGTTTCCAAGCTGAGCCAGGGTGGCTCAGGAATTCTGGGAGTTGAAGTCCACCAGTCATAAAAGAGCCAAGGTTGCCTACCCCTGGGCTAGATGATAGACAGATAGACAGACAGACAGACAGACCATCAGGCGTAGGCAACCTTGGCTCTTTTATGACTCGTGGACTTCAACTCCCAGAATTCCTGAGCCAGCATGGGGGAACTATGGCCCCTTCATGACTGGTGGACTTCAACTCCCAGAATTCCTGAGCTAGCCACGCTGAGGGGAAAGGGAGAGGTTTCCAAGCTGAGCCAGGCTGGCTCAGGAATTCTGGGAGTTGAAGTCCACGAGTCATGAAGCGGCCAGTTTCCCTCATGCTAGCTCAGGAATTCTGGGAGTTGAAGTCCACCAGTCATAAAAGAGCCAAGGTGGCCTACCCCTGGTTTAGGACAATACATATTATTTTGCTATTCGATACGCAAGAGCCAGGATTGTTTGCACGGGGCTGACTTCGCTTCCGCCAGGGACCTAAGAAAGAACACAACCGTCCTTTCAGCCCCAAGGACCGAATTCCGACACGCAAACCGCCCAGAGGGGCAACTTACATTGGCCACGAAAACGGTACTGCCCAGCCGGCCGGCTTGCAAGGCGTGGATGATCTCGTTCGGGATGTTGGGGTTGTTGAGAATGCTGGGCGGTATGTTAATCATGCCAGGCCCGCCGGGGCCGGGGCTGATGCCCATCCCGCTGCCAGAGGCTGCCATGGCCTTCTGCACGGCTCTTCGGACGTGCTCGCCGTCGGGGTCCTAGAACAGGGAGGGAGACGCTTTTGGCCGCCTGCTCTCCTGCAGGGCGGAGAGAAGCTCAGAGTGCGGCCTTTGTGTAGTGCTGGGAAAATGTAGACAATTTGGGAAGAAAGGAAGATCAAGGGAAAAAAAACCACTGGATTGTGCAGCATTGAACAGATTTACAGTACATTGAAGAAGATAATGTTAAATACGTGAAGCCAGACAATACGTTGTTTGCTAAGCACTAAAGACTATAATTGTTAAAAAATCAATACAATATTTAAAAGAGAGAGGGAGAGGGGAGGAGAGAGAGAGAGAGAGAGAGAGAGAGAGAGAGAGAGAGAGAGAGAGAGAGAGAGAGAGAGAGAGAGA